TCTCTTTCTTTGTCTTTCTCCGCGGTGTCCGGCCTCTCTCGGTCGCCCACTCTATCTCGCTCTGTGTTCCGTCGTTCCGTCTCCGTCCGCGCGGTCAGTGTTATTTTTAGATCGGATATCGATGATGCCGCCCGTCTAAATCGCCCCGGTCCCGTTATTCTTTCCCGTCGTGACAGAATTTCGGAAGTGATCGCGAGGCCGAGAGCCTCGCCGCGGCCTGGACACCGACTACGGCCGACCATCGCCTCGACGGCCGCCACATAACCTCAAAATAGCATCGGCGTTCAGTGACAGCCAGTCTCTCTGTCGCCGCATTCCCAGACACCGACGGTGATCTTGCTCTCGCCCTACTACCTGTTCCTCGCCCCTGGCCAGTCGATACGTGTCTCGGGTTCATCGACACGAATTTCCCTGTTGTGTGTCTCCGGAAGTCGCCTGTGTCGGCCACTGAAATGTCCCTCCTCGATCGGGACAGATTTAAAGTCCCGTCGTTGCTGCTGGCACGTTCGAGCGATTCGTAACCTTCATGGTCGCGCGAGCCAATTGGTTAGGATTCTGTGTTGGGAGACTGTGAACGGTGGATCGTAACAGATGCCGAGAGACGTCTGTGTTTTCTAAAATAGTTTCACGTTTTGAGCATTTTCGGGGTAGATTATTTTGCTGATAGCGTTGGGCATCGATCGGGCCATTGGATGATTTGTGTCTGTATTTGTGACTGGTTCCAACGAGGGAGACTTTCCGGAGAAGGTCTATGGAATATCATTGTAGCGGAGTGTGGCACACCTATGCGTGTAGTTGCTCGTATTTGTCGCAGTGATTCGGATCAGTTTATTATATGCTAATCACCCTGTTTGTGTTTCTACGGTCTTGGCGAAGAGATGTTTAACGTGGGGATATGTTTCGAATGTGCGAGAAATGTTAGAGACGTTTGTGTTTCTGTTACAGTTGTCGGCCCTCCAATTTCCTGGAGACCAGTGGTGTCAGTGACACCAGAGAATAATAGGAGCTGCTAACTTTAAGAAGCACAGTAGAGTTGGCTTAGGCCAACCTTGGTGGACGAGGCGAAATGGCAACAATAGATGGCCGACCGGCCCAATATGGTATCAGTCTTAAGCAACTTCGTGAGCTTATGGAGCTCCGAGGACGTGAAGGTGTCAATAAAATCAATAGCTATGGTGGTGTGCAGGAGATTTGTAAAAAACTATATACTTCACCCAGTGAAGGTAAGGATTAACGGATTATTCTCTTCTCCGGTGATCTTTTCATTCTGGAAACAGAGTTTACGGAAAACAATTTTACCTTAATTTATTGTGTACAGGTCTCAGTGGATCAGCAGCGGATATCCAACATAGACGAGACACATTTGGTTCGAATCTAATACCTCCAAAACCACCAAAAACGTTTCTACAGTTAGTGTGGGAGGCTTTGCAAGATGTTACGTTAATCATCTTGGAAGTAGCAGCATTGGTTTCGTTAGGTCTTAGCTTTTATCAGCCAGCAGACGAAGAGGAAACACGTAAGTGTGAATACTGATATGTACAATCATATCTTTCACTGATACTCCTTAATCAATGGATAATGAATAATGGCACATCGTGTTTAAATTTCATGTAGTTATTGAGTAGCGTTGATAATATATCTGATTAAATTGTGGATTTCACATTTCATAATATAGTATTACATAATGGTTTGATAAGTAAATCGTATACACACGTGCGGAGAGCTGATTCATAATCACATGGCTACTTGTAACGGAAAAATTTGCATTTTATCGTTATTTTGAGGAAAGCGAAAGTAAAATGGAACGTCCATCAATTTTCAGCTTCAATCGATGAGGATGAAGCAAAGTATGGTTGGATAGAAGGACTTGCTATATTGATTTCTGTGATTGTGGTGGTATTAGTAACAGCTTTCAATGATTATTCGAAGGAAAGACAATTTAGAGGCCTCCAAAGTCGAATAGAAGGGGAACATAAATTCTCTGTTATTCGGCAAGGGGAGGTGAAACAGATATCTGTGTCAGATATTGTTGTTGGTGACATATGTCAGGTACGTGGACGTTAACTTTCGATGATAATACATTTCTGTAATTTAAATAATTCTGTTCTCACGGCCTTCCTCAAACTCGACAATCTATCGTTTAGATAAAGTATGGAGACTTGCTGCCAGCAGACGGTATCCTTATACAAAGTAACGATCTGAAAGTGGATGAATCTAGTTTAACCGGAGAATCGGACCATGTTAAAAAAGGAGAATCGTTCGATCCGATGGTACTCTCTGGTAAGCATCGGGGGGCAGTCTATCTCGATGAAAAATGATCGATTACTCGAATTTCTTTATTTCTATTAATGTTCACTTGTTCTTTTTCTTTGTCTTACAGGTACTCACGTAATGGAGGGCTCTGGAAAAATGTTAGTAACCGCGGTAGGCGTTAATTCACAGGCTGGTATTATCTTTACTTTGTTGGGTGCTGCCGTTGATCATCAAGAGCAAGAAATCAAGAAAATGAAGAAAGGTATGTAAAGATAATTTCGTTGAACAGTAATTGTTATCTTTAATAGTTTTTTCAATTTTGGGGATATATTCCAAGTAGCAATGTAGCATTTCGTACAGGCGTATATATATATATATTATTTCTATTTTAATGGAATTGTTTTGAGAATGACAGTGCTAACGATATTTTAAAGATCTTTCCATCTGCCACTTCCCTATCGTAGAGTATACGAAGCAAACGAGTCACAACTAGACAATTTTAATTATTTATCGAGCAATAAGGAGTTTCCGAAGAGTAGTATAGTGTAAGCAATGCAAAAGTTTCGCATGACACAGTACAAATGCAATCGTAGAGGAACAACAGTCAGAGCATGGAATTTATTTTGAATTGGTGTGAAAACATTCTCCTATGAATTTAGTTCTAGACACTTACTCGTTACCTTTTTTACGTTTCTTTGGCATGCGTTTCTGGCACTCTTAAACAATTTACTATTTAACTGATTAACATTCGAAGATAGCAGAAAAGAAAACTACTATCCTCTACACTTGAAACGGAAGCAATTAATAATTCATTTGTTCAAACGTTTACATTCCTTCTTCACATATATTCTACGAATGAAATTTCGAGTCTAACGTTGAAAGAGATGGTTAAGTATTTCACGTATGTACATGGCACGCTACACTCACACTTAAAATGCATTTTATTGTTAATGTTTTTCCTGTCCTACATGTCGCATACAAAAGATCTTTATTAAACGACTTCTCGGAGTAGCTTTCATTTGTTCATTTTTCTTTTCATTCTTTTTGTTTCTTTTTCAAAGATCGATTTTTGCTATCAATTGAACCAAGAAAGCTGTGGAAAGCTGTTATCATCGTAGAGCATATTCGAGCGGTGAAAATCGACCTTGCTGCACTAAAAGAAAGAAAGAAAGAAAGAAAGAAAGAAAGTAACGAATAGTCAATGATTAGGAGTGCTTTCTCGTGATTTATGTTGTGTATGTCTTTTATCGTTGCACAACCTGGAAGGCCTGTTAAACGACGCAGAGTGATTTACTTTTTGTTTGTTTGCGCACATGCCTCATTAAAACGATCGTTGTCCAGAGAAAGTAATTAACATAGTAACAACAAAGTCGACGCTTTGTTCCCGAATGACTAGATTCTATTACAACCTTCTGGGCTGTCCACCTTTTTAGAATTAAGCTAAGCCCCACAAATGACCTGATTACAAGATACAATGGCATTGAGATATTTGTACGAGAAATTATTAAATTACGAATATGGCGTAACTTACTCCTGGCATATTACATTTTTAGATAGATTGCTAATCAATTTTGTTTTGCATGCGTTTTTTTATCTAGAGGCTAAGAAGCAGCGGAAGAAGAAGTCATTAACAGGTGAATAAAAAGCACTATCATTAAATTATTA